TAATTCATGTTTCCTCACTTCCTGCACCCCACACAGCCTAAATTAAAACCTCTCTGTCTCAATTCCAATTTTCTGGGAAAGAGACCGGGAAGGGAGTGGCCAGCATGGTCCCCACCAGCTATTTGCAGGATGTCCTGAGTCTCCCCATGTGACCACGCCAGGCCCTTCTCCGAGACACTGTTTAGTGAGCTGAACGGACACCTCCAAAGGTGCCCACCACAGCGACCCTGTTTCTCTGCAGTCTCTCCCTAGGTGATGTCACCTCGTCACAGGTACCATCTTGGTGTGTCACTTTCAACGACCCACGCCTTTTGTCTCAAACTTCCCTCTGTGCAGTTGGCCATCAGCTTTAATTCTTAAAGAACTGTCTCACCGAGGGGCTTTCGGGCACGCACACTGCTTGTGCCAAGAGCCACTGTCAGTTCAGGGGATATTTTTATCCCCTTTGACCTGGAGTAGCAGGTCTGAGCTGAGAGCTGGGACAGACTCAGCCCAGGCTGCAGCGGGTTAATGCAGTGGGGCAGGCAACGGCAGAAATTCTATTATTAACCAGGCATCAGCTCCTTAGCCTCCTGTAATCCACACTGAGGCTGGGACAAAGGGATTTCTGAGTTGCTCTTATTCCCCCAGGAGCCCCAGGTGTCCCTCACTCGTGTTAATGACTTGCAGTCGAGGTTGCTTGACTGGTGAGCAGAGGAGGAGCGCAGGACAGACAAAGGGATGGGCCTGTTGGCTTTAGAACTGAGGTTAAACCGGTCTCGGGTACCTTGGGTTTCTTACCCTGCAGGTCAGGGCAGAATGTGCCCTAGAGGAGCCAGAGGCCTCAGGGAGAGCTGTGCAGGTCTCCAGACTCAGTTTCTAGGAAACTGGACTTCTGGAAAGCTGGAATGCCCAGCTACACAGGTATAAACACAGAAACCGCTGTCTTTGTAACCTCTGCCTCGGCTGGGATCTGGAACCTCTTTCCTGCCCCAGAAGTGACTCACAGGCAACCTTCGTCCATTATGCAGTGCCTCCCTCAACTCGGGTCCCGGCACATGCTTCCTCTCCTTGCTTCTGAGTTGAGTTTGTGAAGTGTCACTTAGCATTCATCAGGGAACCAAGGAGACTCGCTGGTCAACAGCGCAGACCCAGAGTGGAGTTGTAGGTGGGAGGTCGTCTTGTGCCTCCTATCAGAACGTCACATGCACGTCTCTGCTTTGTGAGGGGTGCTTGCGAAATAGGAAAAATTTCTCTCAGGTTGCTGGAATTCATTCCATAGCAGGAGCCTTGGGCAGACTGACTGGTTTTTGTAGCAGATGCTGTTTTAGCGAATGTGGAGTGTCCGACGCTCACTGGAGTCTTTTTCGAGCCAAGCGCCAAGCTGCCACCTGTTTGAGCCCAGACACTGGGGCTCTAATTACGGTAGAGACCAACCAGTGAGGGACCATCCATTTCAGCAGGACTCTGGGCCTGTACTTCTCAGCTGGAGGGTCTGAGGACTGGGAGAAAGGAAGCACCCTAACCAGCCTTTTGCTTTTTCTACCAGCACTCTCAGTTATGAAAGTAGCCATGTCCCAGGGAGGCCCCCCACAGCTGCTCCAGCACGGAGGGACTGGCCCCCGCAGCAGCCGTCGTGCCCTGCCCCACGCCTCACAGTCAGCCGTTCAGAGACCTCGACTCCTCCCGGCTCCTGCCTGACTCCTGCTCCAGAGTTTAGCTCCTGTTAGAAGCTTTCTCCACTTCCCTCCCTGGGCTCCAGGCTGCTGAGGGGCCCCTGCTCTGTTCCCATGACGACCTCTTTGTGCTTTCACTGTACTAAGCACGCCTGGGGCATGTGCTCCGCATTTCTCTGAACTTCCTGAGAGCAGGTGTACGATCACATTCGTTTTCCAATCCTTGCTCTCTACCCGGGACCTGGTATCGTGTGTGCTCAGTAAACATTCCTTCCCGTAGAGAACCTCCAAGGAAGCATAAAAGATCTCGGAAAGCCTCAGGAGGTTCTCTAAAGCCTGCATCTGAGAACACAGACCCTCTCCTCTCGTGGAACCCTGCCACCCAAACCAGAGGCAATGGCAGCTCATTTTGGACGTTGTCCCAACAAGCCTGATGGCCTGGTTTCTTCAGGCCTCAGGAAGGCCACAGATGATAGTGTGAAGAGAGGGGCGTGTCAAGAGAGGGTCTCCTCTCAGCAAAAACATCTGGCAAGTGGATGAGCACATTTTTATTTTTCTACCTTGGGACGTTAATTTACGTCTTTGAGAGGATGGCACATTACTTTTCCTTGAGTCGTTGTTCCACCTGGCAGGCTTGTTTTCCCTTCCCACTTGCTTCCAGAGTCATATGTAGCCTGGGGGTTGAGAGCTGTTCGAGGTGGTGCCAGACAGGAGGTTCAAAATGAAATTCTGAATGAAAAGAAGCCCCTGTTCTCTCAGTACTCAGGCTTCTGGCTTTGCTGCACACCACAGGTAGCTGTGCCCCTCTGACCCCGCCTGCATTTTCTGAGAATCTGCCTCCAGCGCTGGGCCAAGAAGCAGATGAAAGAGTGAGACAGGAAGGTCGTATTTCCTTCCCCAGATCTGGACCTCAGCCCCTGCTCTGGCTTTTCAGACTTGAGACCTGATTATGCCTGGGGGGAGCTAGACAGGGATGAAATTGCCCTTACACTACCGTCCTCTTTTGGTGTCTACTGCCTTAGAAACCCTTGCCAAGTACACTGACTTCCGGCAGCCTAAGGAATTAGCCACTTATCTACTTACCTAGTTCCAGTCATCAGGTATTTCGAGCTCTTGGAATTCGTGTGACGGCCAGTCCCAGCCATGAAGAAGGCGAACAGGCTGGTTGACAAAAATGTGTAAGGCTGACCAGCTTGTGAGGGGTGGTCTGGTGGCTTTAGCCCCCGCATCTTCATCAGGTCCCCCTTGGCCTCCCTGTCCAAATGAACACAGCATCGGCGCCACACCTGCCCGAGCGGATGCATTCTTAGATGAGTCTCGCCACATACTTACCCTCCATCCTGTGCCACTGCTGACCTGCTCTTTCCACCCAAGTCCTTCCCATAGAGAAAAGAAAGAACACCAGGGCTCTTCTGGACTTGTCCCTCCCAAGTCTGCTGCGCCGCGCATCAGTCACAACCGCATGAAGGCCCCTGGCTCGGTCTGATAGCCTATGATGTTGAGTTTTCAGTTGGCGAACCACAATGGTGGTTTTGTTAATGTTTGGTTTTGTTTTCACGTGTGTGAATTTTGCCATTCTATCTTTACTCTCACAGTTGTGCTTCTCATGAACAGAGAGAAGTTTCCTAGATCCAGGGGATTCTTTTCCTTTGAATTAAGGTCTTCCTTAAAATCAGGAATAGAGAGGTCACGAGTTCTGTTTTCTGATGAAACCAGGGGTGAACTCGGAGCAGGAAGGGCACCAGGCACAGCCTCTGTCCACTGTGTGGCCGTGGGCATGTGGTAACACTAAGCAAAACCTGAGTGCTTCAAACCACAGGGAGAGAGGAGTTCTGAGAACACATCCTTTGTGAACTGGCAAATACCAATTTCCTTACCAAATGACCCCCCACCCCGGCCCCTACCCCAAAAAGGATGATGGCTGGCCCTATGGGGTGCTCCATAGGCCTTAGCCCGTATGTCCCTTGCTTGGAGAGACCTTCATGGACCCCCAGGCAGATGACCAGATGTCCCTGCTTTCTCCACTTTCCTTCACAGGATTTCCCAGAATTTGTATGTTTACCTGTGTATATAACTCCTTGTTTTTTTTAAGTAACGTGTGTCTCCCACACCAGACTATGTGGGAAGAGGTTGAATCTGTTTTATGCCCTTTCTGTTGGATGCCTGGCACCCCATTCGGCACTGGGCTTAGCCGTGGACTTCATAAATGTCAGTGGAGGGAGTCAGGAAATCCTTTGATCTTAGGGGTTCCTGAAACATAGCCCTTTATACTACCCGGCTGGGAGACACACTTTCTCACGGAGCCTCCACATTTCTTTTATTGAAGTCTTAATAAAAGCACTTTGTTCACACCGCTTGTGTAGTACTAAGCGTACTGCATGGGGAATCTTAAGAGCCCATTTCCCTCTCCCTCTCCCTTTTTTAAAGATTTTTATTTATTTATTTGAGAGAAAGCAAGAGCACATGAGAGAGAGAGAGAGAGAGATGAGAGCTCGTGAGCAGCAGGGAGGGGCAGAGGGAGAAGCAGACTCCCTGCTGAGCAGGGAGCCCGATATGAGATCAGATCCAGGACCCCAGGATCGTGACCTAAGCTGAAGGCAGGCGCTTAACCAAATGAGCCTCCCAGGTGCCCTGAAGAGCCCATTTCATGAGCAGGGTTGAAAGCTCCTTCCAAGTGGACAGCATTGCGCTATTCTGCACGTTTCCACTCCTGATTCGGGAATTTTCTGTTGGGCTGAATGGAATTTCTAACATTGAAGCCACTTGGAGGTTGTCGTTAGACTCCTGTTGGCCAGACATGTCTAAAACGGTTTCCTTTTTCCGTGCGTGTTCCCTGCTCAAGTGTGAGGACCTGTTAGACGTCCCTTGAGTTCTGTGCTTAACTCTGCGTGTTCCAGAGGAAAGGCACATACCTTTCCATTTGTGTTGTGCTTCTCCGCTTCCCAGAACCCCATGATTCAGCTAGGGATAGCGTCATTGTTCTCACTTTACTAATGGCGAATGTCCAAAAACAAATTAAGCTCGGGGTTGCACGGTGTTTAAGGTGCAGAGCAGCAATGAGAACCAGGGGCTCCTGAGGCTTTCCTACTTTTTATTTAATGCGGAGATCAAAGCTGTGTGGAATTCCTTAAAGGAGATCCAGGTGTTACTTCCCAGCCCCACCCCTATCCCAGGGGTCCAGTCCCACAGCCCTCATGCCTCGCACTGACCCCGACAGAGCGTTTGCCTCTGAGTTCCACGTGACAACGACCTCTTCCGCCCCTGCCACAGCCCTGGGTAGCCTGTTGACCAAGCTCTAGGCTAACGGCTACACCACGCTGGGTTCTCTCTTGTGTTTCTCTCCAGGATCGTCTGTTTTTCGTGATGGAATTTGTGAATGGGGGTGACTTGATGTTTCACATTCAGAAGTCTCGTCGTTTTGATGAAGCACGAGCTCGTTTCTATGCAGCAGAAATCATTTCGGCGCTCATGTTCCTACACGAGAAAGGAATCATCTATCGGTGAGTTTTGGTCTCTGGTAACTCCTCTCCTGATTGACCTCCTGTTTGCCCTCCTGGCTTCATCCACCCTTCCATTTTTCCTGGTAATCATCTGAAACCTTGTTAGAATTAAACTCGCAAAGGTCTGAGTGTCCGGTAAAATAAATGAATAACCTAGTATTCTTGAAACCGGAATTCCCCCCCATGTGGTCCACATGAGACCAGCTTCAGTGGCTCCACGGAGACTCCATGAATTCAGAGAGCCAGACTCTACAAGGTGCTGAACCCATTGTTGCTTTTTCCTGTTTTCCCTGGAAGCGATCTATTCCATCTTCAGAATCCATACCTACACCAAAGAGCGCGGCTGTCGGTTGCCCTAATTACTGTGATGAGGATCTCATTCATTTGGGGCTGCAGCTCACCAGTCTAGGAGCTAAGAGGTGAACTACGGATGAGCAGTGTCCTGCTTGATAAAAGTTATCATTTATACCCCCTCCTGAATATTATTTGATTCCATTTCATGGCACACAATCTTTTGCGTATACTATATATTTTGGACTTAAAATCTGGTTGCCATTGTTAGATCTCAAAATGCAAGGGGTACGGGTGGATGAAACTTTATTCAGGCATAAGATTAGGTAAGGTGGGAAATGCAATAGTCGAGTGTCAGACAGTGTTTATTCTTAACTTCCTCATTTGTTCCCTGAGGTCGGTATCTTGCTTTGAAATTACACTTTAACTTAGTCACCACATAAACTCCTTCTTTCTCTTGAGATGCAATTGCTGCTTCCTTTGAGGAAAAAAAAATCATTTTATCTCAGGAGCGTGAATGTCAAAGTAAAGAATTCCCTTATTGAAACTGGCTATTTATTAGCCTTGCTAATGCTGTTCCTTTTGTGGGCTCAGAACTGTATTGACATCACGATAAAAGTGTAAGAGAGCTTTGAAAGCGGAATATTCTTAAATATCCTAGGAGTCAGAACAGAAAGAGGGGAGCAAGGCTAGGAAAGAATGCATCAGGGCTGGTCATCGATGCCAGAAGGAAGAGAGAAAGCAAAACAGGTACAACAGGTAGGAATCAGAAATGTAAATTCTCAGCACAGGGCCCTAAAACCTCAACTAGATGTAGCCCTTTGCCTCAGCCCCAGCTGTGAGGCCAGGGGGTTGGGTGGGGGGTGCGGGTGCAGAGTTCCAAACCAGGCTGGATACCAGCCGCAGGAGTCCTCTGCTTGGAAGTAGCCAGGACTCTCCATTCATTGTTTGGCCACAGAGCTGCACAGCTGGCTTTCAATGGCCTGTGCTCTGAGTCCTCTTGACCAGGCTGTCTGTTCCTGCAGCTCCAGCATGGGATTGCTCCTGCCACAGCGTCCTGCCCAGTATAGGATTTGGGGGAGGTTGCTGACCCAATGTCCAATGGTGGAGGGAGTTCAGAGGACTTCCTGGTGGTAGCATGGGACTCTAGGCCATGAGCTCTTCTTTTGTTCTCCTCTCCGTGGCTTACCCATCCATCCATCTATCATCTCTGCTCTGCTTACCCCAGAGGGAGCCTTCCCCACATTTAATTTTTTTTTTAATATTTTATTTACTGATTTGACAGAGAGAGATCACAAGTAGACAGAGAGGCAGGCAGAGAGGCAAGCAGAGAGAGAGAGGGAAGCAGGCTCCCCGCTGAGCAGAAAGCCCGATGCGGGACTCGATCCCAGGACCCTGAGATCATGACCTGAGCCGAAAGCAGCGGCTTAACCCACTGAGCCACCCAGGCGCCCCCCCACATTTAATTTTTAAGAATTATGACTTCCCCGCTTGACAGGGACTTCTCTTATAAATCCAAAAAATAATACTAACAACAGCAGCAAGAGCTACATGGAGCATTGCGACACTGACTCTTCTCCTGCATTTCTCCCTGATCCTCCTACCACTGTTATGATATGAGAGTAGCCTTATTGGTATTTTTTAGGTGAATAATTGTGTCTTAGAAAGGCTTAATAACCACATTGTTAACTAGTCGTAAAGCCACAACTCAAATTGTGTCTTTAACCACTGGGCTACCCCATTGCCTCAGGAGAGACTTGCAGACTTGGAGTACCAGAGTGGGCTTCTTAGTCCCCTGCTGGTGATAGGGCGACTTTAATTCATGAAAATGACACAGAGTGCATGTCTTTGTCCTTTTGGGCTGCTTAACAAAACACCACAGACTGGGGGGTGGGGAGCATCTAAACAACAGAAATTAGTCTCTGACTGTTCTGGAGGCACAGTATCAGGGTGCCGACAGGTCTGGTGTCTAGTCAAGGCTGTCTTTTCTCTATGTCCTCATTTGACAGACGGTTAGGGAACTCTCTGGAGCCTCTTTTATGAGGGCACTAACCTCATTCAGGGGTTCCACCCTTATGACTGAAGCACCTTTTGAAGGCCCCTTATAGGTTGGATTTCACCTTGTGAATTTGGGTCGGCCCCAGGTAGGAGGGCAGGGACATAAACCTCAGACCAGAGCAGTGGAGAAAAGCACTAAGGTCAAAACTCATCTTTTTGGGGCACCTGGGTGGCTCAGTGGGTTAAGCCTCTTCCTTTGGCTCAGGTCATGATCCCAGGGTCCTGGGATCGAGCCCCACATTGGGTTCTCTGCTCAGCAGGGAGCCTGCCTCCCTCCTCTTTCTGCCTGCCTCTCTGCCTACTTGTGATCTCTGTCTGTCAAATAAATAAAATCATTAAAATAAAAAAAAACTCATCTTCTTGAATCCTTAGGGGCTTTACTCAAGCACCATGTTACGCAGCTGCAAGGCAGTGGACTTCCTTTCGTGTGTAGGATGTGATCGCTTCTCATTCTGCTTGCTTTGTTGGTCTGGAAAGGAGAGTGGACACTGTAACCTGATGTTTCTGTGGAGCTATATCAGGCCACATCTTGAGAAATTTTATTTAAATTCTTGGCATCTGCGGTTTAATTTTGAGAATTTAATTTACTCTTCAGCTTGAATCCCAGATGCAGGCTCTAACTGATATGGTTGACTTTGAAGGGGACACATTTAATTAGGATAGATTCGAAAGCTATTTTTATCCTGTGGATTTATTTCACAGGATAATTTAATTCCATTCAGGTTACCGGCCTGAGAGCAGAGTCTTAAGGATAAGCCTGTGAAAACCAAGTCCTTGGGACTTACACACAGTAAGGGGCACAGTTGGGTCACAAGGTGTGAATTTGATCCAGAGAGTACAGAGAGAACCTGGGGAGCATCAGATAGACTCGTTTATCAGACACGTCCTGGGATGGCTCTTATCAGAGCCAAAATGATCTTGAGGATGATGCCTCTGACCTATCCAAATACAGGGACACTCATTTTACAGTGCTTTGCTTTACTGAACTTCACAGATACTGTGTTTTATGTACATGTGTGTGTGTATATATATATATATATATATATATATATCTGTGTGTGTGTGTGTATGTATAAATTGAAGGTTTGCAGCAACCCTGTGTTGAGCAAATCTACCAGTGCCATTTTTCCAAAAGCATTTGCTCAACTTGTGTCTGCCACATTTTAGTAATCTAGGGATGTTTCGAACTTTTTCACTATCATTGCATTTGTTATGGTGATCTGTGATCAGTGACCTTTGAGGTTACCATTGTAATTGTTTTGGGGCATCATGAATTGCACCCCCACGACACAGCAAATTTCATCCCCGGATACATGTGTTCTGACTTCTCCATTGACCAGCCATTCCAGCATCTCTCTCGAGACTTCCCTGGGCCTCCCTATTCCCTGAGACGCAATGATATTGAAGTTGGTCTAGTTAATAACCCTACTGTGGCCTCTGTAAGTGTTCAAGTGAAAAAGAATAGTCACCTGTCTCTTACTTTAAATCAAAAACTAGAAATGATTAAGCTCAGTGAGGAAGGCATATTGAAAGCCAAGATAGGGTGGAAACTAGGCCTTTTGTACCAGTCAGCCAAGTGGTAAATGCAAAGGGAAAGTTCTTGAAGGAAATCAGAAGTGCTAGTCCAGTGAACACATGAACGATAAAAAAGCAAAACAGCCTTAATGCGGATGTGGAGAAAGTTTGAGTGGTCTAGGTAGAATATCAGACAAGCCACAACATTCCCTTAGGCTAAAGCCTAATCCAGAGCAAGGCCTTCACTCTCTTCAAGTCTGTGAAGGCTGAGATGGGTGAGGAAGCTGCAGAAGAAAAATTTGAAGCTAGCAGAAGTTTTTTTTTTTTTTAATTTTAAATTTTTAAAATTTTAAAATTTTTTTATAAACATATAATGTATTATTAGCCCCCTTTTCCTATCCCCCAAACCCCCTATGTTGCATCTCCACTTCCTCATATCAGGGAGATCATATGATAGTTGTCTTTCTCTGATTGACTTACTTTGCTCAGCATAATACCCTCTAGTTCCATCCACGTTGTCGCAGAAGGCAAGATTTTATTTCTTTTGATGGCTGAGTAGTATTCCATTGTATATGTATATCACATCTTCTTTATCCATTCATCTGTTGATGGACATCTAGGTTCTTTCCATAGTTTGGCTATTGTGGACATTGCTGCTATAAACATTCGGGTGCATGTGCCCCTTCGGATCACTATGTTTTTATCTTTAGGGTAAATACCCAACAGTGCAATTGCTGGGTCATAATGTAGCTCTATTTTCGATTTTTGAGGAACCTCCATGCTGTTTTCCAGAGTGGTTGCACCAGCTTGCATTCCCACCAACAGTGTAGGAGGGTTCCCCTTTCTCCGCATCCTCTCCAGCATCTGTCATTTCCTGACTTGTTAATTTTAGCCATTCTGACTGCTGTGAGGTGGGATCTCATTGTGGTTTTGATTTGTATTTCCCTGATGCCGAGTGATGTGAGCACAGAAGTTGGTTCTTAAGGCTTAAGGAGCAAAGCTGTCTCCATAAACATCAAGAGTACAAGGTGAAGCCCCAAATGCTGATACAGAAGCTACAGTGAGTTGTCCAGAAGGCCTAGCTAAGATCATTAGTGAAGGAGAATGCACTAAATAACAGATTTGCAATGTAGAAA